TTTTTTTTTTTTTTTGGTTCAAAGGTCAAAGGTATCCATCCTACCTTTTGCGCACCTTGATTAATCCCCTCCCCGGTTTGGTCAAAAGCAAATTATCCATGTCAGGACTAGAGTATTCATAAGGGATAAATCCCTCAAGGTTTGGTCTCAAATAATTGTCAAAATTCGAACTCAGAACATCTTAGTATACAGCTCGTCCCTATTACCACTTGAACTACTCTCGGGATTAAAAGGGGATTTCCATTTATCAACACTAATGACCTAATTGTCTTAGAAATATGACAAATATGTCATAAGTGATCGTTTCCATTTTTTGTTTCCTTATGTTGATGCAGTTTTACTTATAAATGTGGAATGCTCAGCCTTGGAAATTAGGACAGTTTCAAGTAGAACCTTAAACTATTCAAAGGGTTTATTAATGCAGCAGTTACTTTATCAGTTCTAACTGCCTATGCACTTGAAGACAATTTATGACCCTTGCTTGTTTCCAAGTTCTTTAACAAACATATATAAGAGAGGCATAGAGCTTAGTTCCTATTATCCTCTAACAAACTCAAAATTTTTTGTATATATAGAATACAAATGGACTTACATCTATTGAGCTTCTTTGTGTTAATCTTCATGGGAGTAGCTTCTGCAAGCAAACAGAAAGGTCCAAGGTTCGATGAGAATTATAGGGTTTCATGGGGGCAGGATCATGTCAAGTCCTCAATACAGGGCAGAGAAGTTCAGATCTCCCTCGACAAAGATACCGGTAATTTTTCTATTAGATTTCATTCCTGTATTATGTGGTACGTGTGAATGTAATAACATGACGGATTTTTTCGGTACTTTTCAGAATTCCCGACTAATTCATCTAGAAATATGCAATCCTCCATCCCACATATGCAATAATTAGGATAAATATGTGGAATTAGCTTAAGAAATCTTTTTTAAATTGCTTAAAGAACCAAATAGAGTAAAACGAAACCATTGGTAATGCACTTTCTTACTTTTTACGAGAGTAAATTATACTTTAAACCTCTAAATTATGGACTGGATTTCACTTTTACCCCACCCTTTTTTGGTCTGCACTTTGTCCCTTGAACTATTAAATTTTTCTTATTGTCCCCTCAACTACTTTGATTATTTCACATTTTCTAAATCGCAAAAGTCCATTATCTTTTTGAATAAAAATTGTTGACATATCAAAAAAAAAGTAAAATAAATTACATAGTTCGAGGAGACAAAATAAAATAACTTTCTGTTAAATATGTAACGAACATGAATAATTGGGGTAATATGATACTAATCACATAGTTGAAGGTGCAGTGTAAAAAATGTGATAGCTACGGGGACAAAATAAAAAAAATGTCATAGTTGAAGGGATCAAAATGTAATTTTACCTTGAGAACACACCTGGGTCGTTACAATGAAGGACTATAGGCCGGTGTTGTAATTGAACAAGCCTAAGTTAATATAGTTTTCAAGGGGCTCATTTGTCTCTTGTAGTGGTTTTTCCTCCTCTAGCCACTCAAGATGTGAGAGGAATATTTTGTACTCTTATGAGTCTTAGATTAGGTACTTTTGAGGTCTTTTCTATCGAGTTGTTATGTAGTCCCTTAAGCGTGTTTTGAACTATATTGTATATCTTCTCTTTCAAAACTAAAATTTTCGGGAAAAAGGATTATATTACTGATTACAGATGATAAACAGGATCAGGGATTCAATCAAAATCAAGTTATGGCTCCGGGTTCTTCCACATGAGAATAAAGCTACCAGGCAATGACTCTGCAGGAGTTGTAACAACCTTCTATGTAAGACAAGATGTGTCCCAAGAGTAAAATACTCAATCGATAAGATATCTCCAACAAATTGTAACCTACCAATTACTAGCATTAGTGAACCGTTACATTCGATATTTAACACTGTAGATTAAGTGTCCTAATTGATAGGTTATGATGGGTTTGTGATGCCATGGTATGAATAATGATGTAGTATAACCATTTCGTTGAATATTTTCTAGGGTATGAGGAAGGGTTAAACAGGCCACAAATTTTTAGATTCAGGCAGCCGTGCAATTAACCATATAACTTGCTATATTTTTGGCAGTTGACATCTCACACAGGTAACCACAATGAGTTGGACTTTGAATTCTTGGGCAACAGACAAGGAAAGCCATACTTGGTTCAGACCAATGTGTTTGTGAATGGTAAAGGAGACAGAGAGCAGAGGGTTCGTCTATGGTTTGATCCCACAGCAGCCTTTCATGGCTACTCAATCCTCTGGAACCAACATCAAGTAGTGTAAGACTATCAATTTCTGCCCACGCATGCACTACAGTTTCTATAGATATCATGGGTTGCAGCCTAAAAGTAAATGCTTATATCATGTGATATAGGCGTACAATAATATAACTTGTACTTTAATTATTATGATTTTTGTTTTCAATTTTTTTTTGTAAAATCACATAAATTAATTGTAATGGGTGAGGGTGGAGGTGAAGGCGGGGATGGGTGCGACGGGGATCAAAATTTAACCACAGGGTGGTGATAGAGATTAAAACTTACCCTGCTACTAGGGGTGGACGGACTTTATTTAAGCAAATATGGGGGGGGGGGAGACCACTTCCCCCACCCCTGTCCCGGTCCACTGTCATTCCTAGATAGAATGAGTAGATGTGTAACTCAGAAGATTTGATGGATTGAGAGATTGATCCGGGATCCACCCAAGTTACAAAACTATTAAAGTCCAAATATTGTCCAACGTTTAAAATTTGAACTCAGGTTGAGATTCCAATTCAAATCTAGACTTCAATTTTCAGACTGAAACTTGGGTTCNCGTTTAATGAACTCAGGTTGAGATTCCAATTCAAATCTAGACTTCAATTTTCAGACTGAAACTTGGGTTCCATTCTATGGTTACCTAACTTGGACTGAAATTTAAGTTCAATTCAGATTTAATTCGAGTTTAATTGGAATGAGTGAATTTGGGTTAGGTCCCAACAACCTAAGATCCATTCCAAAATACTGTTTGATTTGAATTGCGTTTGAATTTTCTCACAAACTAAGCCTAAGTACTAACACAAAATATTTTCAGTTCGAGTTGGGGTTGGGTTTCGATTCACCCACCCAAGTTACACCCCAATTGCAAGTTAGAACCAAAGTATTCAATTTATAATTAGTACTTTGCACTTATCCAACTTATGCTTCCAATTAACTACGTACATCTAATATTTTTAGTTCCCGCAATAACGAGAGTCTCGTGCATTAAGTATGCCCTTTTACTTTGTGCTTATCATATGCAGTTAATTAAATATTAACTTGTTTACATTTCAGGTTCTTTGTTGACAAAGTTCCCATCAGGGTTTTCGAGAACAATACAAAAACAGGACTAGACTACCTTACCCAGCCCATGCAAGTAGAGGCAACAATCTGGGATGGAGACACTTGGGCAACGGACGACGGCCAGACCAAAATCAACTGGACTCATGCACCATTCACAGCTCACTTCCGAAGCTTCGCCGTCGACGGATGTTCGTCGAACTCCGGCGATGAATCTTGCAGTTCTTCCAAATTCTGGTGGAACAAAGAGCAGTACTGGAGGCTGACCCATCATGAAGAGACAGTTTATCATCATATGAAACGTAAATACATGAACTACAATTACTGCACAGATAAATCAAGGCATTTGACTCCGCCTCCAGAGTGTCAACAATGAAAATTACCTTTTCTTCCCCTTTAATTTTTGGCTGCAATTTCTAAGCTGTTGTATTGAGAACATTTCTACTTATTCATGCATTATTTACCGACCCATATTTCATTCTTCAACAATATGTGATGAATAAACTATTCCCCAATTGCTGATAGTTGTATTTTTATAAATGTTTGTGGTACATTTTGATAACCCTTTTTTTATTGTTTGAATACTGTTTCAGGGAAGTTTGTGTTATCTTATCTTCGTTTTTATTTTTTATTCTTTGTCTGGATATATGTCCATCTTTTATTCCAAACTTAGTTATATGTAAAGTGTTACATATGTACATTGTAGGTGGAGAGTTAAATGATAGGTTGGCATGTGTCAAGTACCAATATCTCAGAGGGATGAGTAAGATAGTTGGATGGGATAAAAGGACTCAGAGTTGTCTATTAATTGCTAAAATATTTTTGGACAAAAGGTTTTTTAGGTAGGTGGAGTCAATGAAGATTCTCGTACCATTTGGATTGTCTATCTCAAATAAGTAGGTGTGTTATCATAGAATTGAATAATGAGGGCATTTATAGCATAGATATTCAGGCCCTACAAACTTCCAACTATCGTCTTTGTACAAGAGTCAACATGGTACGTAACAACTATGTCTACCTACAACCATCTAGATTGTATTTGTAGGGGTGGTCACACATTGCGCATCAGGTGTCTCAAGCATTAATTAGATAAATGTGACATTTCTTTCGACACAACTTGAACTCGGTCCTTGAGTAAATGGCACACTCTCTGAGGCAAGGGCGGCATCCGAGGTGCGGGGGCATCATCATGATCATGAAGGGGTTATAGTCACGGTGCCCTAAGCAATCGCTTACCACAAAGCCTCCCTTTCCCTCGAAAGTCGAAACCCCACCCAAGGCACACACCAGAATGTTTGCTTAAGAAACTTCCCACAATTTTGATCCTTCAGCCACAAATTCACTAGTTCAAATATCTATTATGTTGATTCAGACGATCGACTCCTTCTGTATCACCAGTTTCTCCGGACCCCAATCAAGTGTAATTCAGTAAATAGTAAGTCATACATTGGACAACCTGCTTTGATAGATTAAACCTTTAAAACCCCACCTAAAGTCGAGGCTAACAATCATGCCCTTCCACACTGTTCAGTTCTCTCTTGGGCCAATTGAGCAACAAAGTACCATTGATTGACTCTACCACTGTAGGCATCCATGGATTTCTGGTGTTCTGTAAGGTTCTGGTTCTAAAAGTACCCCTTGGGGATATGCCAGGGATATATTATTAGATATTCGTGTGATCCCAACTATCGACATTTACTTCATCGACAAGTGAGGCGGACGACTACGTCACGCTCGCTTTGGCCCAGTTTTTCACAATGTCCCCTTGTCCTTTTAGACAATTCTCTATCTACCTTTTCTGGAATGAGGGAGGCGGACTGTGGGCCTGTGGCATCAAGCAAAGTTTTCCTCAACGCTCGTGGTGGTGCTCTTGCCACCTTGGTCAAGGATCAAGGTGGGGCATGAGCTTGCCATACCAACTACCCCTAGAGCCTTGTAATGTTGCTCTTATTTTGTAGACAGGAATCTTATTCTTCACGGAGAGAGAGGGATGTGCCTCGCCTCTCTGTGGCACTACCTGTCTTTTGTGTGTATGCAAGTGCAATTAAAAAAATGCCAAATATTATAGATATTTCAAGGGTGGATGTTGAACTCAATAGAACGATCGTTAGTTCTGATGAGTAATACGATTTGAACCTAAAAATCTAATTTAATATTTCGAGGGTGGACGTTAAAAACATTGAAAAATGTTAAAAATTCATCAAATTGCTCATGAAACACTGCGACTAATCCCAATTTATAGAGGAACCCAAAGATTTGACGTTGACTAGCCAAAGCAACTTAGTTTCGCTGAGTCATGTATATAGACATATTCATGTTATACATAAGTCGTGTTTAACGGATTCATATAAACCAATAAATCTAATGGGACATAACGTGTTAACCAATTTACCAAACAACCAAATTACTAATTTCATATTTCATTTATAAATTGTGTCTAAAATTGTCACACGTATTCTATTCAAAAAGGTTTCGTATAGGTGAACGAGTGCACCAGTTCAGTGCGCCCTTGAAATCTGGGGGGATGCCCATGTATCAATCCTAACTGCACAATGAGCTAGAGCACGACTCAGTCACACAATCTTGCATGTCTTTCGCATCTGATGCTATAAGTAAGAGAGAGAGAGAGAGAGAGAGAGAGAGAGAGAGTTTTCAACTGATGGGTTTGAATGTTGTGAGGTTTTTTATGATAATTTCAGTGGTAGAAGCATTGGCAATTAGCAAGCAGAATGGGCCCAGCTACGATGAAAACTACAAGGTTGCATTTGGAGTTCATAACATTTGGCCACAACATCAAGGCAGAGATGTTCAGCTATCCCTCGATCAATCTTCTGGTCATTTTTTACATCTAATTCTCACATCATATCCTATTTATTTATTCCTAATTTCCCTTCAAGTTCTTCTTTTCATTTCTCTTGGGTTTTTGGAAGAGTAACGATCTTTGGACCTTAAAAAATGATTTAATTTGTTGATATAGTAATGTGACAGCGACATACTCTAATACCATTGAAATAACTTTAGGTGTTAGATTTCTTCATTCGGGCAAATTAGGTGAACTTTTTAGGTCTCGATACTCTTTTTGGAATTTTATGACTAAGGGAATATTATTAGCTTGATGTTCGTTAATCGAGGATGGTGAGAGAGAGAGAGAAATTCTATCTACGGACATTTTTTCGCAATTTACCTCAATGGTAGATCATTGATTAGGGGCCACCACATCAAGGAATTAGCATGCTCACTGCAACATCCTTGCTTGAAAGCAATTGGAATTCATACATTTTCAAAACCTACAAGGAAAGAAAATGGCATGAAAGATTCAAAAAAAAAAACTCCCATTTCCCAAATTCAATCATTTTATAGTAAGTGTTAATGTTTTGTGGCAAACAGGGTCTGGTATTGAATCCAAGTTGAGTTACCTCTCTGGATTCTTCCATTTGAGGATAAAGCTGCCTGGCAAAGACTCTGCAGGAGTTGTAACAGCTTTCTATGTAAGACATGCAAAAGTTATATTTTTTAAACTTGAAGTTGTTATAACCGTGACATCACACCATCACTCTAACTTTGTTTTCCACTACTATTGAGTTATTTGTATTGCTCCCTCAATTCTATGAATGCACCAAAACCAAGTGTCGCATTTGCTTTGTGAGATAAATGAAACAAAATGCCACATTCGGGGGTAAAGTAACACAGCTTTCCTTATAAAAGTGGAGCTATTCACACCTCAACAAATATCCATTTTCACCACATTTAATTTTTTTATTATTAAGGACTTGTAATCCAATGGTACTCCTTATGTTGTAAAAATTTTTATCTTCCTGAGATCAAAGATTTAAGTCCTCAAAAAAAAAAAAAAAATCTTATTATCAAACAACAAAGCTCACCCATTCTATATTCACTCCATTAATAATTAAGTTCACCTCATGCTATATACACCCTTTTAATAAAATAAATTCACCTTATATCGTCTCATAATTAGGGTTTCATTCATTAGCCCATTTTATTATACACTTAAAAAATATTTTTTCAATATGAATTTCTCCAATGAGATATAAATTAATATTACTTTTCGATTTAATTCTTTGTTTGATTTCATGTGTGTGGTGTAAATTTTCATTATTTTTATTTTATTTTGATATCTCTATCAAGTTTAATAATTTTAAATTTAGGATGTATGTGTGTGTGTGTGTGTGTGTGTTCATATTGTTTTAAAAAATGGCAATAAAAGGCTATTTCAATAAATAAAAATAAAAAAACTTGTGTCATTTGTGAATTAGAAAGCTTGTTTTATTTTTTATTTTTCCTACTTCAGATTTCTTTCTTTGTTTTATTGATTTCATCCGTCCTTGATTTTTATTTCTTGTTTTCTTTTGGGTTTTAATAGATTTTTCTTTCTTGTTTTCTTTTCTAACTTATTAAAAAAGTATATATAACATGTGACTGACTTAGTTACTAATAGAATGAATATTAAAAAAAATGAACTTAGTAGTTTGATAATAAAAAATTAAATTGGATGAGAATGAATATTTTTTAGAATGGAAATAGCCTCACCCCACTTAGAAATATAACANTGATAATAAAAAATTAAATTGGATGAGAATGAATATTTTTTAGTGAGAATGAATATTTTTTAGAATGGAAATAGCCTCACCCCACTTAGAAATATAACATGAGAGACATGACAAGTAATGTGGCCATGTGAGATACGAGCATAGTTAACGGGGTCAAAGTATAATTTACCCTTTATTTATAGAAAAGCAGCCAGAGATCTACTTAATTTAGAGTTGAGCATTCACTGGTTAACTAACAAGAATTTTCTTCTTCTTTGTTTATATTGTTTTGGTTTTGGGCAGATGACTTCACCAACAATAAAGGGCAACGAATTGGACTTCGAGTTCTTGGGTAACAGAGAAGGGAAGCCCTACACACTCCAATCAAATGTCATTATAAATGGAAAAGCCGGTAGAGAGCAGAGGATGCACCTATGGTTTGATCCAACTTCAAGCTTCCATACTTACAGACTTTTGTGGAACTCCCATCAAATAGTGTAAGTAACGCTTTAAAACCAACACAATGTAGGAAAATACTGACCATATGCACATCAAAGGGGGGAAAAAAAGCACCCAGTATACAAAAATCTCACCTGTCGCGGGATTTGAGAGAGATAAGCGAAAAGTAATCCTGTCCCATTTTGAAGAGATAAATCTCATGACTTGATTCTGCTACTTATCGCTTGGATGAACGAGCATCAAACAAGGTTAAATGAGAAGAAAACAGGCAAAAAAAACAACCTAACAAATATAGCAAACACCAAGACAACGACCTTTGTCAAGTTAATCTGGTACTCAAAAAGTTCCCTCATAGTGTAAAGGTAAAACCCAATGGAGGTGGTATCTCGGTTGCCAGAGGTAACCTTCGAGTCGGGGACATATCTAGGATTTGGGTTTGAGGGAGACAACTTTAAAAATATTAACCCAAAAAGGTTGGTTTAGTGGTCAAACAAAATGTGAGACCTAAACCTTAAATTCAAGCCCCCTGTCCTTACAAAACTAACTAATTGCATCCTAGACTTGCATTACCACCATGAGTCCAAAAGACGTGTAGTTGAAACTATTCGCTGTTACCCAAAAAAAATTCCAACTTGACTGGACATGAAAGGCTCTGCCCTTCCATCCCTTCGATAAAAAGTGAGGGAGGGTAGAGGTTTTGTTTTTTCCTACAATCAGAGAGTAGAACAATGGCATTTAGATTGTTTAACAGAGTTTGAGGATCTCTAACTCAACACACTTGTTAACTTTTAACTTATTTCTTCTATCAATGGCATTGGCTCTTCAGGTTTTTTATAGACAAAATCCCCATCCGGGTATTCAAGAACAACAGAGATAGCAGAGTTGGATACATCACACAACCAATGCAACTAAAGGCAAGCATATGGGATGGAGATAGTTGGGCGACAGACGGTGGCAAAACTAAAATTAATTGGACTCACGCACCATTCCAAGCTGAGTTCCGAAGCTTTGGCATTGATGGATGCCCCTCTTACCTTGGCACAGGACATTGCTATTCTTCCAAGCTCTGGTGGAATAGAGGTCAGTATTGGAGCCTGTCACCTAACCAAGAAAAAATTTATCAAGCCGTGAAACATAAATATATGACCTATGATTACTGCAACGACAGATCGAGGTTCCGAACGCCTCCCCCGGAATGCCCACAGTGATGGCAGCCCCAAACTTTCTTCAAGCTACATTAAGATATTGTATCAAGGCTCAACACCATATATAGCTCAATATATTCTTACTGGAACCTTAATGCATCTGCTAGATATTGATGATGACTGAAAACAATGGGTCAGCCTAGATTGAGCAATTCCACAAAATTAGACAGGAAAAAAACGTAAAAAAGGGCAAGCAAAGTTCTCTTCAGGCATTTCCAAAAGTTTTATCCTGGCAATTGGCCATTGAATGTGGAACCAAGCGGCTGCATGTGGCCCGGGTGATTAATCCGGTGCTATGAAAAGCCTGGTCACAACCTTGTTAGCATAAATGGGGAAAGGACTACCAAATAACGCTGACCATTGCTGACAATGAGGGCTGTCTGCAAGCAAAAACAAGTAGCCCCTGGCTTCACCAAATTAAAGAAACCTAACCTCTTTTCATGCCATGTTAATTGTGATGCCAGCAGATGCCAAGCATGTGGTGTTAAACTTCCAAGTGAAACCAAACAAGTCAAGGCCAAACATTCAACATTGGCATCAAAGCCAGGCGTAGCATGACATCATCAAAGAGCAAGTCTACTGGTCAAGTGAAACCAGACCCAAATACAATAGTAGCATAGCAAGCAAAGGAAAGGCTTCAATGCCAGGTCAACGATGACAACCCAAAAATGGCATGTCACCACTGGTAATTGCACCATCTACAAGCATTGCTATTTGCTAATAATCCCTAATGCTAAGAAGCCCTGGTTTAACACACTATCAACTTCTGGCATTAAAGCACAGACGAAGGCAAGGATGCAAGGAATGCCTAAAAGGCAAGCTACCAACCTACCCTTACAGACAACATAAAAATCCATCAATACGAAAGTTCGTCAAAATTTTAAGAAAGGCATGCAACGAAGGGATGTTAACAAATACATCTACGAATTATGGAGAAATGAAAAATTACTATTTCCACTGTCAATTCCGGTTGCAACCACAACTTACTGATAACTTGCCCTCTTATTTATGATTCCATGGATGTGGCCTGAAAAGGCTGTGAAGATGAACCTTCCCGTCATCCAGCCGACAGGGACGAGGAGATAAGTGATCCCAGTTATTAACCCCAACTAACAGGTGGGTGGATGAAACCCATCAAGTTCGTACAAGTATTTTAAACATATGCAATCTTCATAAATTTAACAGATTTCTACAGTAAACGACAAAGATGAGAACAACTCAGCAGCATGCAAAATATACTTAACTGTGGTAATATACTTACTCTCATACATTTTTTGTTTTACAATTAGTTGTCTTTTCTATTCAGAAAGTGTCCCTACGAGCTCAATTATTGTATTTGTCATGTTTAAGACATTAGAATTTGTTCAAATTCAGGACACTCATGCATAGGATATCTGATGAATATCCTGATGTGTTGGAGATGTGATTTGTCCAAAAAAGAACTGGTTGAGCCACTTTGGGTCAACCTTGAGCATGGATGAAAATTTGTTTGATTAAGAGCCCATACATAGCCCCAATTTGGATACACAAGCTTATTTTTTCAATAGGCATGCATGGACCAAGTCTCTTCATGTCCTTTTTTAAAGAATAGAGCATTCAATTTTTTCATCACATCATACCCTACTTCTGCAATGCAATCCGGTGCAAGCTTTTATTTAAATTTGTTAGAGTATTACTTTCCTATTGTTCTACTACATTATTATATTATTTTCATATTGTTCTACTTGCCAATATGTCATTTTCCTATTATATTCTACTTTCTACAGATTTTTATTGTCTTCAATACCAATCTAATATAAATTGGTGATACACACCTTACACAATATTATTTCATAAACTCTTTCTTCCTCTTCTCTTCTCCTTCTTCTTCTATTTATTTTTCGTAATTATAATCCAAAATTATTCAGGTTTTAACTTGGTATCAAAGCAAGATAGTTAGGTGATTGGTCCGATTTAGTGTTGGTTCAGTGGTTTTCATCCTGATTTAGTATTGATTCAGTGTTTTTAGTCCGGTTTAGTATTCATTCGATGTTGTCAATCCAATTCAGTGTTTTCAACCCGGTCTGGTGTCGATTCAATAGTTTTCGGGCCAGTTTAGCGTTGATTTAATGATTTTTATCGTGGTTTAATGTTTTTCACTTGGTTTAGTGTCGATTTAGTTATTTCCAAACCAATTTGTTGTTGGTTAGTACTTTTCACTCATATTCAGCGTTTTCAACCCGATTTAGTGTATATTCATTGTTTTCAACTTGGTTTAGTGTTAGTTCATTGGTTTTGGGGCAAGTTTTGTGTTGGTTCGGCGGTTTCAATACCAATTCAGTGTCAATTCAGTTGTTTTCAGCCCGATTCAGTACTGGTTATGTGAATTTCAGAACAAGTTCAGCCCCTTTTTGGCTAATTCAATTCTATTCTACTTTGTTTACCCTATATTCAATTGTTGTTGTTCAATTTGTTGTTGTCTACAGTTCGCTTTAGTGTAGTTGGTTGTGTTTGTGTTGGTATTGTTGTCCTTCAACTCAAGTATTAGACATTACATGAAACAACCACTTTGGCTTGTTGCTCAGGAGGAGTATCATGGTAATGGGTGTCGATAAAAGAAATCTCTATATGATCTGAATCAATAATTTAGAATTTAATTTTATTATACTTATATTTTGCGACCTCGTTTGTAAAGTCTGGTGATCAACTCGTTGATATTTTTACCAAACCATTGGGGTTGTCCATTTTTCATAGCCTTTGTGCCTTTGTTCCAAGCTGGGCACTTTTTGTCTCTATGCTCTAACTTGAAAGGGAGCATTACTCTCTTATTGATCTACTTTCTTATTATATTGTTTTCCTATTGTTTAACTTTCTTATTATGTTACTTTACTATTGTTCTACTTTCTAATACATAATTTTTCTTATTCTATTCTATTTTCCTAATATTTTAATGGGTGAAAAACAAAAAAAAAACCTATACTAAGTTTCGATCTCACTTCACCTCCTATATTTTACAAGTTTCCCTTAACCCCCTCTAACTTGTGAGCAAACTGTAAATTTAATATAATCTATTTATTGTAACGACAAGATAATTTACGCGTATTATAAAATAAATAATTTTTTCCTAAATTAAAAAATTAAATTACCAATTTTACCCTTCATCTCTCCTCTCTCCTCTCTCCTCTCCCCTCCCCCTCTCTCTCTAGACCAGCAAATTAGTTTTTGACCTATCAAACAACTTGTTTTCTCAAATCTAAGATCATTTTTGAACTCTTTGACCCCAAATTAGCTAGACTCAACCCCACTCAACCCCCTTTTTGAAGCTTTAACAAATTTTTCAAAGTTTTGATTTTCAAATTTTCAAACCGTAGTGGGTTTCTTCCACCACACACACACACACCCCTCGACCATGGCTTCCCAGCACTCCAATACATTGTACTACAACCCCATAACACAACTCAAGCCTCAATCAAGGAAGAAAGGGTCATTTGCTATATAACCCATTTGAAAATTTGATTATCACTTTAAGCTTCAAACAAAAATTCGAGCACACACACAACATGAAATTTAAATCTAATCACACCAATGAAATTCTCATGGAAAAATAAACCTGACCAGGTTGTTTGTCAGTTGCACATTTTGTTTTTTAAAAATAAGGGTTCTACAATGATAGCATCACAAAGAAAATTGGATTACAATCAGGGAATAGTTTAGTTTTTTTGTATAAACTATTACCTCTGTTAACATTTGTAATTTGTTCACAAGTTAGAGGGGGTTAAGTGAAACCTTAAAATATGGGGGGTGAAGTGAGATTAGGCTTGGTTTAGGGAATTTTTTGTTTTTTACCCTATTTTAATTGACTTCAATATCAATCTAATATAAATAGGTAATAGAGTTTATTTTAGGAATACATCCTATACAATATTATTTCATAATCTCTTTCTTCCTATCTTTCTATTTCTTTTCCTAAATTCTACTATAAAATTATTAAAATTTCAACTAATTAAAGTAAAATGATAGTGTATATATGTCCGTGTGCATGTCCTTTCATATCCACAAGTGCACGCCACAACTTTCACAAATATACCTATTAGTATTTCGCATATCCAAATTTCATTCATTTAATATTCCTTTGGCGTTGTTGGCATATGTCAATTCTCATCTATCTCTTTCTATTTCTTTTCAATATAATGAAACTTAAAAAATCCTCATATAATAATCCATAAATTGCAATAAAAAAGAAAAAGGGAAGTTTGTGATTATTTTTAATCTTTTTAACTAGGTAATCTAGTACTTTTATGTATGAAAATAATAAATTGGGTCATTGTGGTTGGACTCTTATGGATTTACGACCACATTCTCCATAGGCTCTCTTATCTCTTCCTTCTTCATGCACAGACTATGGAAGAAGGAACCAAGAAGAAGGTATCAGCAACAACTGATTTTATTACGGGACAACCTATAAAGGTCACTTGATCTATTANCAACCCCATAACACAACTCAAGCCTCAATCAAGGAAGAAAGGGTCATTTGCTATATAACCCATTTGAAAATTTGATTATCACTTTAAGCTTCAAACAAAAATTCGAGCACACACACAACATGAAATTTAAATCTAATCACACCAATGAAATTCTCATGGAAAAATAAACCTGACCAGGTTGTTTGTCAGTTGCACATTTTGTTTTTTAAAAATAAGGGTTCTACAATGATAGCATCACAAAGAAAATTGGATTACAATCAGGGAATAGTTTAGTTTTTTTGTATAAACTATTACCTCTGTTAACATTTGTAATTTGTTCACAAGTTAGAGGGGGTTAAGTGAAACCTTAAAATATGGGGGGTGAAGTGAGATTAGGCTTGGTTTAGGGAATTTTTTGTTTTTTACCCTATTTTAATTGACTTCAATATCAATCTAATATAAATAGGTAATAGAGTTTATTTTAGGAATACATCCTATACAATATTATTTCATAATCTCTTTCTTCCTATCTTTCTATTTCTTTTCCTAAATTCTACTATAAAATTATTAAAATTTCAACTAATTAAAGTAAAATGATAGTGTATATATGTCCGTGTGCATGTCCTTTCATATCCACAAGTGCACGCCACAACTTTCACAAATATACCTATTAGTATTTCGC